GGTCGGGAACAGTGGGACTCAGTACCTTGGTCTGGTGGTCTGGTGTCCTCTGCGCCTTGGTAATGTGGAATCAGGTGGCTGCCTGTCTGCAGCGGGCTGATTCGGTGTCTTCCGTGTGACTCAGGACCTCGGTAGGGCCTGCACAGACCTGCCTGTCTGCCGCGGGCTGATTCGGCATGTGTTCCGCGCGACAGGGGACCTCGGCAGGGTGTGGGCAGACCTGCGGCAGACCTGCCTGTCTGCAGCGGGGTGATTCGACGTCTTCTGCGTGACTCAGGACCTCGGTAGGGCGTGCACAGACCTGCCTGTCTGCAGCGGGCTGGTTCGGCGTGTTCCGCGGGACTGGGGACCTCGGCAGGGTGTGGGCAGACCTGCCTGTCTGCAGTGGGGTGATTCGGTGTCTTCCGCGTGACTCAGGACCTCGGTAGGGCGTGCACAGACCTGCCTGTCTGCAGCGGGCTGATTCGGCGTCTTCCGCGTGACTCAGGACCTCGGTAGGGCGTGCACAGACCTGCCTGTCTGCAGCGGGCTGATTCGGCCTCCAGGTTGAGTATCCTTATATGAAATGCTTGGGACAAGAAGTATTTAAAAATTTTGGAATATTTATATGTAATATCTTGAGGATAGTACCAAAGTCTACACATGAAATTTATTCATATTTCATATACACCTTATGCACATCCTATGAACTTAACTCTATACAGCATTTTCAGTATGCCTGCATTTTGAGTATTACTTTTTCATGAGGTTAGGTATAGAATTTTCCAAATATGGCATTCTGTTGACACTCAGAAAGTTTTGGAGCATTTCAGAGTTTGGATTTCTGGATAGGAATAGTTGTAGTTTTTGCATCGAGGGACTTATATGATGTAGCTGTTTTATTTTTTTCTTTTATAGATCAGCAGTTACTTTTTTTTTGACTTGTTGAAATACTATTTTCAGTGGTTTACATTCTGAACTACCAACCAATACTACAAGTTCCATTAGACTGTATATAATCAGTAGCTCATTAAGTCATTCTTAGTTACTGATGTTTATAAACTGTAGGAAATCCAACAGCTTTAAAAAAATATGTAACCTCCTCTTTTGGTGGGAGTGAGTTTTGGGCGTTGAACTTGGGGTCTCTGTACTGAGCAACATCCTCAGCCTTTTATTTTTTGAGACAGGGTCTTGTTGAGTTGCCCAGGCTAGACTTGACCTTGTTCATGATCTTCCTGCTTCAGCCTCCCAGAGTGCAAGGATTACAGTTGTGTGTCACCATACCTGGAAAAAATTATTTATCTTTTTTTAGGTGTTTACTACAACCTGGAGGGAAGATCTTTCCTCAGTATGTGCTGATGTTTGGGATGCTTGTGGAATCACAGACACTGGTGGAAGAGAATGCTGTTCAAGGAACAGACCGTACTCTTGGGTTGAATATAGCACCTTTTATCAACCAGTTTCAGGTAAGTGTTAGAAAAGAGAAGTTCTATCAGAATGCTATTATCTATAGCCTACCTTATCTCTATTTTTAGTTTTAGTCACAATGTGTAGCCGGATTAGAATGGCAATTGATTTCCTAGAGCAAAGGATCTTATTATGGGTAAAAATCAACTCAAGGATCATATTCAGTTTGTAGATACTCCTCTGAGTCACTGTTATAAATGTGAATTAGGGCACTAGGTTCTAGTCTTGTGAAAAAGGTTTCTCCATATTTAAAAAAGAAGCATCCAGATTTGGGTTCTAACTTGAACTTTACATTGAAACCTCAGGTTGGCACCAGATAGGTATGAAAGCCAAAGTCCAGGGTCTAGCAGTGATGGCGAATCTTTCAGAACTTTCAGTGATACAGCCCACTGCGGTACACGTGCCACCACTGGTCTAGTCTATCCAGCTACAGGAAGCAGGAACATAAATGCCTAGAAAAGGGAGCTCTGGGCAAAGACATTAGTTTTAGTTTACAGAACAAGGAGCCTGGATTTATAAACAAGGTGAAACTCGTACAGGTGCCAGCAGCAAAGTACAAATTTGTGAATTTAAAATTGAAGTGGATGAAATGCCCAGGGAAGTGGTTTGAGAATAGAGACAAGGGAAGTAGGTGGGATATTACCATCTAGGCTAAGCAGAATTTTGCTAAGTAGGATATTGAGTAGAGTTTAAAAAGTGCTATCTAGAACATTCTACAGCCTACATGCTTTGTTAGATCTTTCATGAACAGTCCCTACTCAAATACACATAATTTGTGGAACTACTTTAAAGGGCCAGCTAAAGCTTTAGAATTAATCTTAGTGTTTCTGGGAATTTAGTAAAGAGAATATACTTATCAGAAGTCAGAAAAGTTTAAATTATATCTTTGTATGGTCCAAAAATACCACTCATCTTTGTCATATTCCCTCTTGATCCTGACATCAACAGTTCTTTGATTCTGCCAGAATCTATAATATCTTGATTCAGTGAACTTCCTGTTTCATATCTTCCTTTTCTTAAGGGCTTATATTCTGTGTTTTATATATTTTCATGTGGTTCTTCATATATTTGAAATGTTAATTTCTCTTCACTGTTTTTGTTGGCCTTGGAAGATAATACCTTGGTTAAATCCATCACTTTGTGTTCCCTACCTACTATTGTAGTCTCACATCCATTCTTGACTACTTACTCATCAAGAGGGGCTCTGTAATCTTTCCTGATTGGTGAATTTAAATGTATCCATGGCTAAGAATCCCTGCCTTGTAGAAATAAACTTCTTTTCCAAATGAAATTATTTTGTTGAATTTGGCACCTTTGTCAAACAGTATTGTTTGTTTCTTAGTTCATAACCAAATCCTAGGTTTAAAATTTTTTGGAGCCGTTTTGCTTAAGTAAAAGTTTATTCTGCTTTCATCCAAGTGTAAGACATACAATTGAAACCATAGCAAAGTACTTGACCTGCTTAAACCTTGGTTTGTTATTCTTCCTGCAAAATGAATAATGAAAGCCCTATGCCTTAGGTTGATGTGAAACTATAAACGAGGCAATAGATGCCAAAAGCATTGTCATACTGAGCCAAAGTAAATTAAATATATGATGATCCCTGACTACAAAACAGAATGTGTTAAAGTGAGAAATTTTATGCTTTTTCTAGGTGCCTATACGTGTATTTTTGGACTTGTCCTCGTTGTCTTGTATACCTTTAAGCAACCCGGTGGAACTCTTAAGACTAGATTTAATGACTCCATATTTGAACACAGCCAACAGAGAAGTAAAGGTATGAACAACATGCAAAATGATTGTGCTTGTCTTATTAATAATTATCTTAAATTTGGTATTACTGTATATACTTTTAGCTACTTCCTTTGAAGATTCAAATATTTTCTGAATAATATATGAATGGATTTGAGTAAATATTAGTGAATAAAGTAGGTTAATATTAATTTGAATTAGGTAATTCAATGTATTTTTAAATTTTCATTTAAAATTCACTAAACAGAGAAAGAAGATAGACTTATACAAGTCTGTTCTATTTACTCTGATAAAATTTTCATAATTTCTTAATTTCCATAGGTACACATTTGTAAATCTGGACAAGTGACTGCTATTCCATTTTGGTATCATATGTACCTTGATGATGAGATTTGGTTGGATACTGCAAGTGAAGCCTCCCACTGGAAACAAGCTGCAGTTGTTTTAGAGCATCCCATGCAGGTTGAAGTGGGAGAAGAACTTGTTCTTAGTATTGAGCATCACAAGAGCAATGTTAGCATCATAGTCAAACACTGAAGATCAGCTTTCTACTAAAAATGTCACTTAGAACATCAAGTATAAAATTCTTGTTTGAATTACTGGGCTTATGATCATAAAATGTATAAAATCTTAATTTCTCATAATCAAATATTTTTCAGAAGTGACATTAAGAAAGCACATTTAAAAGATCCTAAATTAAAGAGTAGCATTATTTTTATATTATTGCTGCAAACTTGCTTTCTGGAAAAGGATACATCATTAGTTTTTGAAATTAGGAAACTATTTTTCTTTATAGGGATTTTAAAAGTCAACCTCATTGTTATGCATCAGTAAGTAAAGCAGTATTTTAATTTTGTAGGCATCTTGACTTATAATTGGGAAACATCTAACAGTAGGTCTCCACAAAGGCTTAGGGTTGTGTTTACCTGTAAATCACAGGCCTACTTCTTTTTTTTGGTACCGGGGATTGAACTCGGTACCTTGCGCTTACAAGGCAGGTGCGGTGCCACTGAGCTAAATCTCTGGCTCACAGCCCTACTTCTTTTAAATACTCAGAGTATTCTTAAAGACTAAGAGTTAGGGAGGAATTACATTATTAGGAGGCATTTTTGTCTTGATCTGTTTTGGTAAAGAAAAATTAAAAGGCTGATAAAAGATTAATTCTAAACCAGTACTTTTGTTTTGATTTGGATGCACAGTAAGAAAGAACTCATTCCACTTTTACAGACTTTTGAAATAAGGAAATTAGTAGGATTGTCATACCTTCTATATGCTAAAAGTGCTTTATAAGCCCCCAAAATGTTTCTTTGTTCTGTCTGTTCTCATTGTCTCTATTACCACGCTACCCAGCTTTCTTTTAAATAAATTTTAATTATTAATATTTAAGATAACATGTATTATGGTATACATGTAAATAAAAATGTTGCTATAGTGAAGTTAACATCCATTGTATTATAGTTACCCATTTTTTGTTTTATTTTTGTGGCAGGAACAGCTAAAATAGCATTTAGCATAACTCATACAGTAAAATTTTATTACCTATTATCTTTTGTCTTTGCTACTTTTCACATTGCTGAGACAAAGTACCTGACATCCAAAGTTAAAGGAGGAAGGTTTATGTAGCTCACAGTATATAGAGGTTCCAGTTCATAGTTGTCTGGCTCCAAAGCAGGGTGGCATGGCAGGGGGACATTGCAGAGGAGAAACAGTTCATGGCAGGCAAAAGGCTGCAAGCAACAAGTGACAAAACTTCTTTTCTGTCCTTTATATCTTATCCAGGCTACCCACTGTTATGGCAGGTAGCACTCACACCCTCAATTCTAGCATTACATCCTTGATCCCAGCATCACTCACTGTAGACCAGCCAGCTAAACCCCACCTATGATTGCATGAGGCTTTGGGGGGACATCTAGATACAAGCCATAACATTCTGCCCCTCGCCCCTCAATGACTCACGCACATTTCTTTATGCAAAAGGCATTTAGACCATCTCTAGGAATTGAGTTGCCAAAGTCCTAACAGTTTCAGCATTGCTGAAAACTCCAAGTCCAAAGTCTCCTCTGGGATTTAAGGCAAACTGAACTACAAGCCCCCATACAACTGAAAAGAAAGTTAAATACTTAAATGTACAATGGCACGAGATAGACTTTCCATCCCAAAAGGTACAAAGGATAGAAAGGAATGGGAACAAAGCAAGTCCAAAATCCAGCAGGGCAAACATTGTCCCATAGTTCCATGTCCAGCATCTCAATCTTCGGTAAATAGTTAACTCCAAAGGGCTTGGGTGGCTCCAACCCTATGGCATTGCTGGTGGTTGTAGCTCCCATGGCTTCTCTCTTGGGCTGGCTATGTTCCCTCCTTCCACTTTTTCTCAGATGACTCATATTTCTGGCTTCTCTAAACTGAGGTCTCCACTGCACCTTTGACTTCAACACTCACAGCTTCACATACTGCCCTCTCAGGGGCACACTGCCTGGCCTCCCAAGCTCCCTTCTGAAATCTGGGTAAAAGCCTTCCTGACCCCACAACTCTTGCATTCTGCATGCACCTAAAACCACCACATGGATGCTGCCAAGGTCTGCCGCCACCTATAATAGTAACCAGGCTTCCTTCTCTCTGGGCTGTAGGAGTTGCATGCCTGTGAAGCAAGTCCTGAGGAGCAACTTGCTTAAGGTGTCACTGTTCGGGAACATTGTTCACTGGCTTTCTTCTCAAGGCAAAATCTCACTTTTGCAATTTTGAGGCTGCAAAGGGTGGAGACTTTGGTGGTTCTTGTGTTGTTCTTAGGGCATCTTTTCTATTGCCCCCTTCTGAAATACTTGGTCCTTTTCTTGCTAGTCTTTTCAGGGACCGATTTTTCCTCTATTCCATCTTTGCTGGCTGCAACTTTACTAAAGTTTCCTTTCTGGCCAAACTCAAAATGTTTTAAGTCATTCTGTTAGGCTCTTTGCCCTTGATTCTCAGCATAAATCTGGCTAAAACTCCCCAACAGTAGCCATGCCATGGCCTCAACATTAACTGCCTTGGAACCTCTCCTGCTAGATTAATTAGTATGCTGCCCTTAATTTAAGTCTCAGGCAAAGTCTCTGGACATGAGCAAAATGCAGACAAATTTTCTGCCAAGGCGTAACACACATCATCTTGAGTCCCACAGCCAATGCAGTCCTTCCAACAGAAACCTCTGGAGCCTATCAGCATTCTGGTCTTCTAAACTCTGACCAGAATCTCTCATCAAGTACAGTTTAAGATGTGCCAGGGCTGCTGCTTCAGCTGGCATCTCAATGCTTTCCAAACTCTTCCCATAAGCCAGTTCTAAAGGCTCCTGAACCACATGGTCAGGTACAGTAACAGCAACAACCCCACTTCTCTGGTACCAGATTCTTAGTTACTTTTGTTGCTGAGACAAAATGCCCACCACCCAAATTAAAGGAGGAAAAGTTTACTGAGCTCGGTTTGTAGAGGTTTCAGTTCATGTAGGCTGGCTCCAAAGCAGGGTGCCACAGCAGAGGGACATTGCAGAGGAGAAACAGTTTATGGCAGGCAGAAGGCAGCAAGCGACAAGCAACAACCTTTTTATCTCTCATATTTTATCCAGCCTACCCACTGTTAGGGCAGGTACCACTCACACCTTTAATCGTAGCATTACATGTTTGATCCCAGCATCACACACCCTAGATCAGCCAGCTAAGTAAAGTCCTACCTATGACTGCATAAGGCTTTGGGGGGACATCTAGATATAAGCCATAACATCCTTATGTTGTACATTAGATCTCTAGACTTGTTTATCCTACATATCTGCTTTGTATTTTCTGACCTGCAACTCTCCATTTCCTACCCACTGCCAGTAACCTTTCTCTACCATTTTGTTTTCTATCTCTATATTTTAAAATCCCAATGACTTTATTCTTTAAAAGATGAATAATATTTCATTGTATATATTCACTAGTTTTTTTACATTCATTCATGGATGGACACTTAGGTTTTTCCATCCCTGGGCTATTTTATATAGTGGCACATGTATATGGAAGTGGTGTGGGTACCTTTATAAGGTGGTGATTTCATCTCCTTGGCAGGTATGCCCATTTTTAAGAAATTTTCATACTGTTTTCCACAATGACCGTACCAATTTATATTCCATCAGTAGTGTACAAGAGTTCCCTTTTCTTCACACCCTTTGCAGGATTTATTGTCTTTCACTTTTTTATAATAGCCATCCTAACAGCTGAGGGAGGTGGTATTTCCCAGTGGTTTTGATTTGCATTTT